TGGAATCACCTAGTTGGTCAGCTCCTAAATTTTTGGGGATGCCGCCAAAAACCGCCTCACTGGGGGCACATGCATTGTTTCACATTGTCACAACACCTCCAAACATACGATCTAACTTCTCCTCTAGCTCAGGATTAATTTCACCGTATTTAATTTTTTTTGTAGTTGACATCACCTACAAATTCATATAACATGTTGCTAGATTTGAAAATAAATTAAAAATTGATAAAAAAATGTGACATTTCAAAAATGTTCACCATCAGTCTCTCTGCCCACCACTTTCGGAAGCATCAATTGTTTGCTTTACTGGATCCCACTTTAAGCCTGTTGATCCTTGTTTCAATTCATTTCATATTTTCCAATCATTCTTTAACTGATCCCACTTATTTTTTAACTGCATCCTATCATACTCTCTGTCTGTATTTTTCTACAGTTTTCTAATAATATTTTGTCAGTCTTCTTTGTTGAAATACGTTGTCGACCTATTTCCCAGTTCGACCTCCTTGAGGCAAATGTCACAAAATATTAATTTTGTCCCTTTCTCCCACATTGCAGATAAACTGACCTCTTTTGACTTAACCATTGTATTACTAGCGTGAAAAAAAACTAATTAACATAAATAGGAATGCCACAATATCACAACTCAAAAAAAAAAGGAATGTCACAATATTATCACAATTGCCCCTCCACGTCACAATACACCTACACATCACCATTGCTACCACCTACACAAACATGAACATCTAAAGACACCAACACATCCACATTACCACCATCACCTCCTCCACACACCAATATTTGGCGCCTAGACACCAGATGCAGAAATTGGCTGGCATCTAGGCACGATAGTTGGGCGCTTAGATGCCACAATTATTTTATAGAAGATTCATTGAATGAGACCAAATTTTGAAGAAATGCTTGAAGCAACCCTTGGTCATTTTTGAAGCTCTATAAATATAGATTAATTTCAAAGGGTTAGGGGGTCGGATCTATAGAGTCTCATAGTGTGTGAGTGTGTTAAGTGTGTGAGACGTTTTCTTTGTGAGTCTTTGTTATTTCTAGAGTTTTTGAGTCTTGTAAGTGTAGTTGAAGTCAGAGAAGTTAGAGAATTCAAAGGAGTGCTTGGGGGAACATTCCAGATAAGTATTTATATCTTTGTCTTCAAGTTTTGTACTTTGAATTGAAGTTTTATAAATATGTTTTCTTTTTGTTATCCTAATGTTTCATGAGTAGTCTTCTTTCTTTCTCCTTGCAATATGAAGAAATTAAGTAAGTGATTTTGATTTTGTTTAGAACTTATTTTATTCCTAAAAATTATGATTATATTTTTACTGGTCTTTTATTTACTTTACAAATTTGTCACTTGTATTGTTAAAACCGTTGAGGAACTTATAGACCCGAAAGGGCTAAGATTTCTTGACTTGTAAGTATCACATTTTACATTGGAAAGAGCAGTCGCGATCATTTTAAGGGGGGTGCAAATAGATAAGAAGATAAGATTTGATGGACATAGAATTGATGTTTCTAGAGTGACATGCTAAATTCGTTTATCAATTTGATCTAGAGATTGAAACTAAGAGCCACTAGTAGGTCTTATAGAGAGGGCACGATGGGTAGTCAAAAAGCGAGAGACTAGAACCTACTCAGCACTACTATTTATGCCGACGTCAACTTTAGATTAGTCAATATTCTTTGCACAATTCGAAAGAAAGTAAAGAATAAATATGCTCCTATTTGTCACAATACCACATTTAAGTTTCTAAATAATTTTGAAATCCTAAACTAATGATTATTGATAATGAGAAATCCTCTTTATATATATTGTCGAAGTCATTACATTTACTTTTACTTGAACATTGTAGAATTTAGTAAACATAATTTTCATCTTTAGATAGTTGCTGCAATCTTAAATAAAGTTTTCTTGAAGTCAAAATTCTTGTATTTCATTTCATTGTTTTTGGCTTTCTCGTGAGAACGATAATGGGGTTTTTAAGGAAAACTCTGTATTACTTGAAACGATACATATACTTGCGTAGCACCCCTAATGAGAAAAATATTTTTTTAAAAATTTTTTATCATAATACATTTGTTCTCACTAGCTGTTAAATATAATTTGAGTCAAGTTTTTTACATATTAAGAAACATAAATATCTGTGTAATTGCGGGTCGGGTCAGCCTACAACGCCAACATTTCAAATTTTACCTTAAAAAGGATATAATCTATAAAATTTGATTGATATTCAATATTTAATATTACATTAAACAATGTCATTTTTATTTACTTTTAGGAAATTTTACATAGCACTCAGAACATACAAATTTACATATATATCACACCTAAACTCTTATGTTTATTCATCCGTTGTTGGCTTCTTCGTTTCAATGGACTCAATTGTTAAATCACCCTCGCGAATGAGCTTTGACGTAGAGGAATGGGATGAGAACTTCACTAATGGAGCATTCAAGGTTCTCCTAGCCTTTTGTCAGTGGAAGACGACCCCTCCTTTTCGTTTAGAATGTTGGGGTTGGTCTATATTCATTAAATCACACTGAGATGATTTTAAATCTCTAGTTTGCACGATGAATGCCAGGGTATTTGGATGAGGAGAAAGTATTACGTCCGGGCTCCTATCTAAAATTGGATTGTTTACATAATTTATTCACTACAACACAGTTTTAAGGTTTTAAAATACATGATTTAAATGTAAGGGTTCATAACATGTCATAAAGACATGATTAAACTGAAAAAAAAAAAACTCAGATACAACCGTGTTGTATTGGTTAAAACATATAAACAATTCTTGAATCTATTATAAGGAGAACAATAATGATTCTAAATACATGATTTTAATGTAAGAGTTCATAACATAACATAAACATACGGTTGTACTGAAAAAAGATTTTAGATACAACAATGTTGTATTGAACAAGACACATAAATATTCCTTAAATCATCTATAACGATTACAAAATTGGTTCTAAAATAAATGAATTGAAAGTAAGAGTTCGTAGCATGACCTAAAACACTTGCTGTAATGAACAAAATATGTAAATAATCCTTAAACCCGTTATTAAGCTTATTTTGTTTAGTACAACATGATTGTATCTGTTATTTTTTTTTCTTTAGTAAAATCATGTTTTATGCTATGCTATAAATCCTTACATTCAAATCATGTATTTTAAAATCTTTTTTGTCCTTGTTATAGCGAATTTAAGGATTATTTATATGTTTTGTTCAACACAACATGGTTGTATCTGAGTTTTTTCTGTACTACAACCACATGTTTATGCCATGATATGAATCCTTACATTCAAATCATGAATTTCAAGAACCTTACAACTGTGTTGTAGTTAATAAAATACGTAAATAATCCAATTTTTTTATTGGAGTGTGGACGTCGAGTAACTTCCGGACTCCACATAAAATTTTATAAGATGGTGGTAAGACTTGCAATGCTTTATGTCGTAGAATGTTGGCCTTTAAAAATGAAACATATGACTAAGTGTTGCTGAGATGGAATGCTTAGGTGGATGAGTGGTTGGACACTGAGAGAAAAAAATAAGAAACAAATTTATTTGTGAAAGGGTTATTGCAGCTCCAATTGCAAATAATATTAGAGAGAGTCGTCTTAGATTGTTTGATCACATTAAACATTGACTATCTAATGATCTGATTAGAGGAGTAGATGCTTTAGATTCAATAGATGTTAAGAAATGCAAAGGTATACCTAAAAGACTTGAGCGTATTGTATCAAAAAATGATCTTAATCTATTAGAATTAAATAAAAACATATCACTCTAGGACACAAAGGAGAAAAATTATTCATGTAGCTAACTCTAGTTAGTGGGATAAAGACTTGTTGTTGTTGTTGTTATTTTTGTATTTTAATTAAAAAGTGCATATACATATCTCAAATCAAAAGGCTTGGTATCTCTAGCAACAATTTTATAAAATATACCTTAGAGAAAACAAGATTTCAGCTCTTCTCTCTCCGATGAGATTTAATGATTGTTTTGGCAACGTTTAAGAGCTATTTTTAGGGTATGTTTGGGACAGCTATAACTTATTGAATAATTTGTTGATAAACTGATTAAAAATAATCTGTTGATAAGCTAGGTGCGATGTCTATTATGATTTTTTTTGGGAAAAATTAAACCGCCGTCAGCAAGTTGCCACCACACTTAGATAGGTACGGTGTGAAAACGTTGTTTTCATCGTTTTGAAAACGCACAAGTTGTCAGAACACAATTCACCCAAACAAATCAGGTGTGTTTTCAAAAAGCCACCGCACCAAATAAGCTGCCCCAAACGTGCCCTTAATCAACATGGAAGAACCATTTATCAGGCAGTCATTGCAGCTGGTTTTCACGATGACTGAAAAGAGAGGAGAACAATAGGTCTTATAGCCTCCTTTGAGAGAGTACTTATTCTATGCCTACTTATGAGTTTAAGGTGCTTATTTCGTAAATATAAGAGTTTAGCTTTGATATATGTAAATTCGTATACTTTGAGTGCTATGTATGTAAAAACGCCTTACATTTAAAACTAAAAAATATATTTTTAGGTGGAGGATAGATATCAAGCTTTAGCTACAAGTATATGTGTATTATTTATCTAAATTTCTCAAAAATTTATGGTATTTATGTGGAGAAATTTTTCATGCGGAGTTTGGACACAACTCTGCGTGTGGCTTTCAGTAACATGTCACTACAGAGATGTTATTGTGGGCTTATTGAAGTGAAACCGTGAAGATTATTGGGGGTTATTATAAGGGTTGATACAAGGGGTTAACGAAATGGAATCGTGAAAGTTATTGAGAGGTTACTAAAGTGAAACTACTAAATTTATTTGAGGTTATTGTGAGGGTTATTACTAAGAGTTATTGAAGTGAAGTTGTAAAAGTTATCCGATTATTAATTATTGAAAGATTATTGTGGTGTTATTAAAATTAATGTCCCAATTAAATTTAATGTCTCAATTTCCCGTTTGGCTTGCCGCCTCTAATATTTTAGCCGCTTCTCGCTTTATCCTTGCTCCGGAGTCCTCTCGCATATTTTCTCATGGAAACCCCTTATCCAACTGTCGAGAACCTCACCTCCACTCTTCCCACCGGCGACTCTACTGAACCTCACAGCGCTCTGTTCCTCGTCCTTGGCTATCTCCGGCTGCCAGAGCTCCTCGCATTTCGGCAAGTGTGCAGGGCTTTCAGGGATGAGATCGCCGCCGACGAGACGCTGTGGCGCCACATCACCGTCGAGCCCCCGCTAAGCCTCCGGCTCTGTGACGAAAAACTTTTGTGGATTACATCCTTTGCGAGGGGAAATTTGAAGTCGTTAGCGTTGCCGCGTTGCTGGCGGATCACTGACACCGGTCTGCTGCAAGTTGTTGATCAAAACCCTTACATTACGAAGGTGTGTATGCTCTGTTGTATAAATATGATTCTAAGATATCTAAATTTAAATATTAAGATGCTTTGGATAAGTATTGAGTTAATATAACTTTTTTTTAGATTTTAAAAATCTGTGATGTTTCTGGCTAAAATCTAACATCTGTTGAGTGTTTTGAGAAATTCAGTTGTAATCTCTTGGAACCCTAGAAGGGGATTTGTGTGAATGACTCTGGCTGCCACCTATCAGCTAAGAAAGAATTTGAGGATCTATTCTTGTGCAAGATCAAATGTTCGTGAGCACGGAGCAAAGATCTCCATGGATCCAGATATTTCAAGTATCCACATAATTTATACTTTTCTCAACGGATATCTTTGATCAAATTTTGGCCTCTCCTTACTCTTCAAGTGAAGCTAGGGGTCTATTTAAAGGCTCCATGAGAGGGACATTTTGGTCATTCGGCAAATAACTTCTATAACCACCTGATCGAACTACCTTCCTTGATTCCTTTTGATCATATAATTTTTTTTATGATTTGAGTGTCTTAATTATCTCAGAACCAGGTAATCTTGAGCTCGTTGTATTCCTTTTATCGAGACACTCAATTTAACTATTGGTACGTGAAATGTAGAGTTCATTTGACCCTTCAATTATCTACCCAAAGACTTCAATTGTGGTTCAATGACTTGATTCGCGCTTGACTGGACTCTGATTAGACTAATTTTGATATTATTGGGTTCCTCTCGTCTAGACGATCATTTTAGTTATAAGCTTGCTGAAATTGGAGCTCTATATGATTTTAAATTTGAATATGGAATGTTTTATTGTTCAAAAAATGTATCGAGATTCATGTTTGATGACAAAAAATTTTTATGACGCATCAAGTATATATTATGAAATGAACTGAGATAAGAAGGCAATTGAATAAAATAAATGAGACAAACTATTTTGTAATTAAACTTCAGCAAATTACAGAACTATAATTGGGAGATAATGAAATCAGGAACAAGTTGGCATAGGCTAGCTTCATCACACCCGGGTCCATAGGTCGGTACATCCCAATAACATAGGATGTAATAAAGAATTAATATTAACTCTCAAGATAAATTTCAGAAGCTGTGATCAATTGAAACTGTTTCTTACCCGTTGGAAAAAAAAATTGTATATGAGAATAACAAGTAGAATGTGCAAGGGAAAGCAAAAAAAAAATAAAAGTGATAATTATTGCATCAATAAAATCTTAAAAAAATGGTTAATTTAGAATCAACAGTTCTAGCGAAAGGGAAATCAAAGAAACAAATATATAAGCAAGAAGTATCCAAAAATCAAGATAAGTCTAAATATAAATATAGCTTAAATTTTAGTACCGAATGACATGTGTGTTC